GATTAAGACTTGGAATTTTTTATTTTGTATCACTTTAATGAGGTAATTAATGAAGCTTTTGGGCTATGTAATGAATATTTTAAAAGTAATCTGTGTCTTTATTAAATGCCTATGGCAAACGCTTAATAATAAATACAAATTTTAATGTGTTTTTTTCTGCTCTACATTTTAATTTGTTACAAACTGTTGAAGAATTTAAGTTGCTAAAGATTTATTTTAGTTCTAGTTAAAGGAAAATAAAAATGCAGAATCATGAGGTGTTCGATGTGACTGCAAACGTGAGGGTTAAGCCAGAAGGAAGGTCAGTTTTCATCCAAAGGGCTTTTGAAGTTCTAGATTGATTGTTAACATGTACAAATTGTACCCGGGTTAAAGTAATGAAAAGGTAATATATAATCAAGATTCATCAGTCAATTTAATAATAAAATAAGCAGCAGGTTAGAAAACCCAACAATGCCAAAGAACAACAACAAAAAAAAATAACAAAAACCCAACCAGCCTCCCAGAAATCCTCAACCCAAACCAACAAAAACCTGCAGCCCCATCTTGGGCACCAGCTGTAGCTGTTCCCTTGTGCTATTTAATTCCTTTTGGGATGTGAGGTTCAATCAGGTGCTTTACATGGACTGGATTAGGGAGTAAAGTTGGGATACGGAAACCATGTTCAAGGTGAATCTGATGTTATCGCAGTGAAGTAGGAGGGTATGTGTGGTCAGATGGATCCGATATAATTTAGCTGAGAGAAAGGCAGTTTATTATGCTACGGATTTGACTCCATGTGATCTGATGGTATTCCTAAAGGGCAGAACTGCCAGGTGAGCCTGTGCTATTAAGGTTTGTTTGGGCTGTGCGGTGGTGATTGCTCCATCGTTGCTGCTGTGCATCCCTGTGTAGCTCACATACAGTTGTGTAAGGACTCACGTTTTGTGGAAATACTGAAGTTGTTATTCTGCAAAATGATATAAATGTTGCATACATATTGGAAGTAAGTACTAAAGAGCATGGTTTGTACTATGGGATAAAGATCTCGGGAATACATTTGTTTTACTTTGCAGCTTCGTTAAGCAATCTGTTCTGCTTCTGTTGAAGACTGGAGAGCAGAAGCTGACTGTCTTAGTTGTGGAAGCTGTTGGAGTTGCTTCTAATGGGAATAAGCGTTATAATTTTAAGTGCATTGTTGAATAATTACAACTTTGAACACATCTGCCTAAGCTGTACTTATGTATGATTTGTTAAAATATCTTTCTTTGAAGTTCTGTTAGATTAGTGCAAAGGGAGGAAAAAAAATGTTGTGCACTAATATGTAGAAGTTTCACTGTTCTGCCAGAAAAATGACTTCTTTGCCAAGGGGCAAAATGAATCTATTTTGAAAGGAATGTTGAAGGATAGAAAAAGATTTTTTTTTTTAGAATACCTAGCTCTTAGTTTTTGCACGTGAATCTTGAGTTGTGAAGGAGTGAGTTTGAACTTTTTAAGACACCATCTGCTACTCCTGGAGTTACTGGGATCCCAGATCTTGCCCCAATTACCCCCCTGTAATTAGGAAGTAGCTTAAACCTTCATCGAGGGAGAAGCTTGTTCAGTGTTCCTGTGCAACGCTGGGGGAATTCGGTTACTGTAGAGTACCTGAAGTGCTGCAGTTTCATACCTCACTTACTTCAATATAGTTCATCCACCATTCCTGAAAAAAATCCTGAGGCGATTCTGAGTATTGTGTCCTACCTCCATTCAACAGTATTTCAAAGCACCTTCTATCTTACCGCAATTAAAGCATTTCATCATGGGAACCCACTTCTCCTCTTTGATTCTGCCGTGAGTTGTTTTCAAGACTATTTGCAGGTTAATTAGCTTCTTTGCATGTTGGTTACTTAGTCTGTAAAATGCAGTATTAGTTCATAAACCCCGTGGAGGTGGTCAGATAGTGTCATTACTGCTGTCATTCAGCTGAGTCTGAGTTTTGTTCTGCCTCACCTGCTCTGTCTTTGCAAATGCCGCAGGTGGAGCTTCTGGGAGTCAGGCCGAGCCTGCAACTTCTGTGTTGCAGAGTCTCATTAAGTATTCTAATAAAGCAAGAGCCAAAGCCTTGCTATTTGGAGATCTTTTGTAAGATTGTAAAATAACAACAAAGGTAACTTCAGCGTGTCTGGCACAGCTTTCTGATCCTTGAGTTGGAGTGACCCTCTCTTAAGAAGTAACATAGGATTGAACATTTAGGTAGGTTTCATTGCAAAACCGAAGGTGACTTTGTGTGCAAACAAGTTTTAAATCTTTTACCATTTACATCTTTGTCTGTAAACTCACATTGAGATTTTTCAGATCTACTTAAAGAGAGGAGTCTTGTTCAACCTTATGGAAATCATTCTGAAAATACATGTCCTACAACAGTGCTATTCACTCTTCAGGTATTGACATCTTGCTTTTGGAAAAGGTGTAGACTAGGTTAGTTTATACTTTAGGATTCAATGAGTAGTTTATCCTTTTAGCTTGCTTGATTGAGAAACAGGAAGTATATGCCATTACTTTGTTACATTGTTGTTGAATGTAATAACCATCATGCCTTGTATTTATTGACTATAAATTAGGAGTTGAGTGATTTAAATTTGCATTGTAGCATATGGTGTATGCAGGTGCAGAAACAAAGATAAGAAATGTTAATTTCTGAAGCTGCAATGAAGTGATGAAGGAGATATTTCTGTAGGATTGATCTCCAGGTGAATTCTTCCACTGATTTTATTCATGAAACCCCTTTCTAGTGCCAGGTAATGTGGTCAGTAACCTAGAACAGAAACAGATGGCTGCTCATTATACTTGTTTTATATTGCAGATCTGTTCACATTAACTCAAAAGATCACAATTGAAATGAGCTTCGTGGGTCAATATTACCTTAAAAAAGTGACAATATTGCATGTTTGTAATGGTGAACTGTACTCAAGATGTGGACTGTCCTCTTAAACTGTCACTGGTATAAATGATTCTGTTAGTCAGCACCTTGGACACGTTAAGGGACCACTTATGGGAGTGCTGGGGGGGGTTTCATGAGCTGTAAGGGAAGAAGAAAGGGTAGAGCACCTTTTACCTCCAGCATGTCTCCAGTACCACAAGCTGAGAGGCATAAGGTGGGCCATCAGTCTGGTGTACTCAGCACCTCTTGTCCTTGATCCATATATACCCTGAAATAAATTTTTTCTTTGTCTCTGCTATATATTTGTGTTCTATGTTATTTAAAAAAATAATAATTGAGAGATGACAGTACGTACGACTGTGTGCTCAGGGTATAGGCACTGTATTTCAGATTTCATTCGTAGATGGAGTAAGTGTGGCTTGCAATTTTCTGTTTACTCAGAGGTATCCAAGTAGTCAGATGCCTTCTAGTTAGTTATGTAGTTGTGGGCAGCTTCTGTTAATGCCTGTTTGTCCTCAAAGCAGCTCTGAATAGCTTCTTTCTCTCCCACAGTTATATAAGGTGGCTTCTGAAATATTTTTTAATGGCTTTTGCTAGTCATAACTTGGATATTACTGAGACTATGAATTTCAGTTTATCAGGAATAAATTCAGGAAGCTATGTTAATTTAATTTTCTTAACATATTTCAAAATATTCAAGTGACTTAACTCTGGACTTTGTGGTCTTTATGTCGGTATTAATTCCTAGGCTTATTTTGTTTTAAATAATTTCTTATACATATTTTAGGAATATAATTTGATGTTCACACATGAAGAACAAATTTACAGTTCTCTGGACGCTTTGCGAATCTATTGATGAAGCTTAGGATGAAGTAGCTACAGTCTAATTAAGTGTATATGTTTTTTGGATTGTGCATTACTGTCGTGTATTTTCTTTATAAAGCATTATACCCTTTTTAATTTTATCATTTGCAGCTGTCTTGGCTGCCAAGAGGCTGTTTGAAAAATCTTTGGGAAAGAGCCTGTAAATACGTAATTACAAAACAAATCACAAGCTCTCACCTGCTCAAGGCTTCAGCTGAAAGGAGCAAGCACTTTTTAAGATGGTTCTTTGTAAAATAAATTCATCTGTAACAGTTAAATATAACAACTTTGATTACTTGGACGTTAGAAAAATACTTTCTTTTTTAACCTCGCTATTACATGAGCTGCTTAAACAGTTTTAGAAAGAACATGCTACTGAAGATTTTATATTAGGTGGAATTGTTAGAGTCATTTCTCCTCTACATAGCGGGTACTGAAAGGTTTATATTGTTCGACTCCTTTTGTAGAGCAATAAAAACTGAGAGGTGGCAGTTGGTTTAAACCTTATTGATTTATTTTGTGTGTGTGTGTTTCTGTAATTCATATAGATATATATACACACACACACACAAACCTCAAACAAATACAAGGCAGGATAAAGGCCTGGATTTCATAATGTAAGCAGTAAATGTGCTATTGCCAGGATTTTCTAAAAGAGGAAGATGCAATTATTGCATTGTTTACTACAGAAGATATCAAGAATGAAATAAAAAATGTTCACTTGTGTTTAAAAGAACAACTATTTGATTTTTATGTATTTATTTTTTTACACTACATGTACTTCGTTCATAGACTTTCAATCTGTCCTTGGTTTTCTGTACAAGAAGGTAAATAATGTAAAGCAAGGATTTGTGGACCTCTAGGTGTTCAGCACACCCAGTATGAGAGTGCTTCTAAAAATAAGTTGTTTACTTCAGTTCTGCATCTGAATACTTAGAGCCATTGCTTGCTTGGTTTTTCTTCATAACTCCTGCTACCTGTCTGAAAACAGATGAAAAATAAGTTATTTTACATTTTCATCATGCATAATTTGAACAGAATACTTCTGTTTAAAGGTGATGTTTTATTAATTTTGAGAATTAAGTTCTCGATCAGATACATGGCTGTTTCCTTTGTGAGGTCATCAGATAACAAAAAAAGCACAACTACTGTATTTCTTGGGTACAAAATTGTATGTGTAAGAGCCTATATTTCTGGATTAGAAAAAATGCTAATTATCTTAATTTTATTTCAGCTTTACTTTTGGAAGCTCAGTCAACACCTTTTCAAATAACTCCTTCAACCATGGCAAATATTGTGAAAGGCCTATATACACTACGACCAGGTAAAAAATAAAAATGTTTCTAGGATTCTCTTGTCCTGTGGTTGTGATGTGTCTTCCTAAATACATGTGTGGTCGCTATCTATCTAATGCACGTTTAACAAACAAATGTGCATTATGTTCTGTCCATCATCAAGCTTAGTTTAACTGTGCAAAGGCTGGTCTTGTTCTTGGCTCTTCATGTTGCCCATCTCTGTGACCTGCACAAGGTACCACTGAAATACTAAATTCATTTTAAAAAAACAGCCCAACTCTCTCCTCTGGAGACAAAGGGAAGACTGATTTCTTTTGCTCTGTGGAAATAAAGAAGGCTGTTTAATGAGTCAGTCATGGCAGAAGTTTAGAAGTATTGAAATGGTGAAAGTTATATTGTGGGTTGTGCTTCAAATGGCTAGATCTTTGACATGAGATGAATGACTCTTTCTTCTATGAAGCCATTATTTGGTTGGTGTTGTTTCATGGAAGAGCTTAATTTAACTCATGAGGACATCAGGACATCTTGTGCAACAACAATTATATTGAAAGGAAGATGGTGTTGCAGATTTTGATCAATTTTGTATCAAAATCTTTCATTCTTTAAGTTTTGGAGAACTGAGTAGAGCTCTAACCTGTGTTTGGAAAGACTTTAGAAACAGGAAGTATTCAAAATATCCATAAATAAATGGCACCTACTTTGTTTCCTTTTACAATACTGATACTTTCTTCTAAGCTTGGTGTGACTGACAGAAGGATTGTGTCTGAACTCAGTCTGTTTTTACTTTGCAATCCCCATTTATAGAAATAAGGATGGGAAAGCTTTACAAAAAGCTTTGGTGCAACGTTTAGTGTGTATATAAGCCAGGAATGTGGTGGACCCTCCATTTATGAAGTGCATGGATAAAGCACTTTCAATGAGGATTATTTTTGCAACAGTGAAATTAACATCCTACCATCATTTTTAAGGCAATACTAATTTCATTTTTATAAACTGTTCAGTACCAACAAAAGGAAGGGGGTATATATAAAAGTATAGTTCTTTTGAAAGCAGCTCAGTGTGATTTTCTTATACCACAGTTAATGTTGTAGGTGATGGACTCGTAATTTCCCAGTTTTCCATTTCAGATGATCCCTGTCTTGCTGTCTACTTCACAACGCAACAAATATTAGTTTGGGTGGTATCATGGGCATGATCAAATTTTTGAATAGTTGTCTTATATCTGTAAGATATTTAAGTATAAAAATTGTTCTTACAGTTTGCGATATCTGCTTTCCACAGCTAAGTAAGAAGACCCAAGTGATTGACTTCAAGCTATTGCTTAAACAGATACACGTTTGGCTGATGGCCATGGGCTTTCTCTTCTTTTACTTTCTCTTCAATTTGAAAGTACTTGACAACTGTTAGACTTCAAATGTCACCAGAAAAGACCGTCTTCTAATTCTAGCCCCAGCACTCAGTGGCTGCAGTAGAAAATGTTGAAGCCTGGGCAGGTGCTCAGGGTGCCAGTTGCCCCACTTGAATTTAATCTGAAATACTCTCTTCACCTTGCCTGTAATGATCTGGCAGTGGCACGAAATACCCTGCCACAGTATTTCATGTTTTGAATTCCCAGTCAGTTTATTAGCTTGGCTAAATTATTCGGTAGCAGTAGGTTTTTAGTAGGTGACATGTTCTACATGGTACCTTTTTACTGTATTTCATAAAATGAAAAGTACTGTTTCACATCTGTAGAGTTTTGGGGGGGTTCGATTTTTTTTTTTTCTTTTTTTTTTTTTTTTTTCTCTTTATCAAGCACTGCTGTGATCTGGGTGACCTGGGGAACTACAGACCTGTCAGTCTGACCTTGGTACCAGAGAAGGTTATGGAGCAGATCACCTTGAATGCCATCACACGGCACGTAGAGGACAACCAGGTGGTCAGGCGCAGTCAGCATGGGCTTATGAAAGGCAGGTCCTGCTTGACTCTCCTGATCTCCTTCTGTGACAGGGTGACCTGCTTAGTTGATGAGGGAAGGACTGTGGATGTCTACCTGGACTTGAGTAAAGCCTTTGACTCCGTTTCCCACAGCATTGTTCTGGAGGAACTGGCTGCTCATGGCTTGGATGGTTGTACTCTTCACTGAGTAAAAAACTGGCTGGATGGCTGAACCCAAAGAGTGGTGGTAAATGGAGTTAAATCCAGTTGGTGCCTTATCACAAGTGGTGTTCCCCAGGACTCAGTACTGGGGCCAGTTCTGTTTAGTATCTTTATCAATGATCTGGATGAGGGAATCGAGTGCAGCCTCAGTAAGTTTGCAGACAACACCAAGGTCGGTGGGAGTGTTGATCTCCTTGAGGGTGGCAAGGCTCTGCAGAGGGATCTGGACAGGCTGGATTGATGGACCGAGACCAGTTATGTGAGATTCAACAAGGCTTGAGTGCTGGATCCTGCGCTTGGGTCACCACAACCCTATACAGCACTATGGGCTTGAATGGCTGGAAAGCTGCTCAGTGGAAAAGAACCTGGGGGTGTTGGTTGACAGCCAGCTGAATATGAGCCAGCAGTGTGCCCAGGTGGCCAAGAAGGCCAATAGCATCTTGGCTTGTATCAGAAATAGTGTGGCCAGCAGGACCAGGGAAATGACTGTCCTTCTATACTCTGCACTAGAGAGATTACAGCTTGACTACTGTGTTCAGTTTTGGGCCCCTCCCTACAAGACAGACATTGAGGTGCTGGAGCGTGTCCAGAGAAGGGCAACGAAGCTGGTGAAGGGTCTGGAGCACAAGTCTCATGAGGAGTGGCTGGGGGAACTGGGGTTGTTTCGCCTGGAGAAAAGGAGGCTGAGGGGACATCTCACTCTCTACAACTGCCTGAAAGGAGGTTGTATCGAGGTGGGAGTCAGTCTGTTCTCCCAAGTAACAAGGGATAGGACAAGAGGAAATGGCCTCAAGTTGCACCAGAGGAGGTTTGGATTGGGTATTAGGACAACATCTCTTCACTGCAGGGATTGTCAAGCATCAGAACAGGCTGCCCAGGGAAGTGGTGGTGTCACCATCCCTGGAGGTATTTAAAAGACTTGTAGATGTGGTGCTTGGTTTATTGGTGGACTTGGCTGTGTTAGGTTTACGGTTGAACTCCACGATCTTAAAACTCTTTTCTAACCTAAATGATTCTGTGACGAGGGAGGTTAGTGCACTGGTTTTTGTTTAAACCACCTGTATGCCAGTAATGATTAGTGAGTGAGTTTGCTGATTAAAGACTGTTGAAGCTTGGCATCGACCTGGTAAACATATGTGGGAATGGGATAAATTCTCATTATGTGCCTCTGAATATATTTTAAAGCATCCTTTTTTTTTCCAAGTAATAAAGATGAAGTTTAGAATAACTTCTACAACCTCGTGAAAGTCTGGCTTCAGAAATACTTGAGTGTTTATTTTTCACAGGACTTCTTGCTAGAAACCCAGTTTTGATCCTTTGTGTTTCTTATAATCAGCCTTGAAGCAGCTTTAAGGTAAACTGTTTTGCTCCTGCAAGGCAATGCTCAGTTTAGCGAAATCAGATCACGTTTCTATCCTGAAGCTGAACTAATACTGGTTAATATTAAATAATGAACTTAAAACAAGTGTTCAGCTAAGCTTTGGAAGAGCAGCGAGAGAATTGCATTAATTCATTTGAACTGGGGGCTGGAGAGGCAGGGTTGTATGGTGATATTCCTGTGCTTTCTAGAAGGAAGGCTCAGGGAAGGGAGGTGTAGATTTTGTGAATATGCTTCCTGGAGTGAAGTGTTACAAACGATCTGTTTATCAAGGCGAGTTTGCTGAATGTCACTGCCTGTCCTTTAGAGTGTCCAGAGACTCAGCAGGCCCTGGGAGATGCAGCAAGAACTGAATTGCAATTTGATGATGAGGTTGATGACTGAAAAAAGTGGTAATTCCTTTATCTACACGGAAACATCAGTGGAAGCATCATCATGGAAACAGTCTGATTATTTGTCCTGCTTTAGGGCTTAGTTTCTGTGGGTTTTGGGGATGATTTTGGGTTTTTTGGCTTTGTATTGTGTTGTGTTTTTTTTTTCCCAAGATCCTAAAATATATTTAAAATAAAGCAAAGTTATTTTTGTCAAAGTGTAAAGTTTTCACGAAAGATCTCTTCCACGTGTTTAGTTGTTGCTCTCCCTCTTCTTACAGAATGGGTACAGATGGCACCAGCTTTATTTTCTAAATTCATCCCAAATATTCTGCCCCCTGCTGTGGAATCTGAGCTTCAGGAATATGCTGCTCAAGACCAGAAACTTCAAAGAGAGCTTATGCAGAATGGATTTACTAGGTAATAATTATCAGTCTTCAGTAGTAATTGTGCTGTACAGTGCTGCAATGGTAAAAATGAATACACCTAAAAAAATGAAGACATAATTTAAGAGTTAATAAATAACTTTCACGTCTCAATATCTGAAATACGGCCTTATTTTCCACGTTTTGAGCAGGATACCAGCATGCAGACGGTACCAAAAAGCAAATGATTGGAAGTCTGGAAATATTTTCGTGCAACAGATTGCTTACAGTTCATGCATCCCTGTGTTTTGATTGTGTTTCTAATGTGTGATCATGCTCTTGTTCAGCCTTTACTTATATTTATTTTCTATAAGCTAACTTTTTTCGTGATGCTTCTGAAAATGTCAGTTGATGACTTCCACTTATTCCACTTTCAGAGCTATTTATGCAGTCATGGTGTTTATTTTAAGTAGACATTTCTCTTCTCAGTATTAAATTGGGGTGGGTGAAAGGAACAAACAGTAAGAGACAGTGGAAAATGTTTATAACGGGTATTACTCACTCTGGGCAGTGCGTGTTGCTCCGTGCTCTTCTACTTAACTGCCTGGACAGAAGCACGGAGCTTGTGCTACTGCAGTGTATGACTTCTGCAGTAGTCTGACGATCCAGGGTCAGGCTGGGGAAGCTGTTGTGCTCTGTTCCCGAGAGATTTGTTTCTGCATGAAGAGAACACATCTTCATCTTCAAGCTGTGAGAACTTGGGCTGAGAAAAGCAGGGCATTTGGCCCAAGAAATAGAAGTTTGAGACTGTTTGAAATTGAGTAGGCATATTATGCTGACAAGAGAATAGAATAGACTTTTTCAGCTGGAAGGGACCTACAACAATCATCTAGTCCAACTGCCCGACCGTTTCAGGGCTGGCCAAGTTAAAGCATGTTATTAAGGGCATTGTCCAAACATGTGGTGCTCTCTTGTTAGACACTTGTTGGGATCCTCAGAATATATATTTTGGCAACTCCTGTTTTATGCAGAAAAGTAACTCTCTACCACTGGAACTAATGCAAATCCATAGAGAAGTGTTTCTGTCCTGTGTGATAGGAGAGGACAAAGAAGAGTTGAGGACTTGAGGATAGTCGTACAGGGCAGAGCTAAGTCAAGGTTTCTGTGTCACATATTGTTTGCAGAGTCTAATTTATAAGAGTTCCTCTTCCTTTTGGCCTTCCACAGCATGTGATCTTCTGGGTATTGGCCATGTGAAGAGTTTTGGTATGTCTTGTAGTTTTAGAAAATTGGCCCACCCTAGCCCATGCTTTGGTGCAACTGCTGTTTCTATTTAGCTTGCTTTAGATTTATTACATAAAAATGCAAAATAAAACTTTGCAGTAACCAACCGATGGCATTTGGTCTCTGATGAATGTGTTTTGCACAATGTATTTTATATGATTATACTGCTGGGAACTCAGTGTAGTCTGGTAAATATGGGGGTTGTATAAAGTGTTAGAGTCGAGTCTGTCATCATTAAAAGGGCACAGGTAAAAAAACAGAAGGTGATACAATTTGCTACATGGCATTTGGCATCAGTATTTGAAATGCATTTCACCTTGAAATGTATTTCAAGTTGTAATATGCTTCTTGCTATATTCAGAAACACAGGGTATGTTTGTTTATAACCTTTCAGAATTGTTCTGAGATTATATATTCCTACATATATCGATGTATATGTATGTCTGTATAAAAGGGTTGTCTTTCAAGAAGCATACCAAGTCTGTTCGCTTCTGGTTTAGCACAAAATGTCATCTGTTCTCCTATAATTATGCCAAAAAATGGTGACGTCTTTGCTGCTGCACTTCCTACAACGCTAACCATGAGGAACACAGCTCAGGGAGGTGTTGTGTTGGGTTTATGTGGTGGGGTTTTGGTAGCATGGGCGGAGCTGCAGGTATAGCCCCTGTAAGGAGCTGCTAGAAGTTTCCCCGGCTCCAACACTGCCGGACCCACCTCTGGCCAGGGCCGAGCCAGCCAGTGTCTCTGTGAATAAACCTATTTAAGAGGACAAAGGAACCTGAGCCATGCCGGACCTGCAGTGACGAGAGGACGAAGGACCTGCAGAGCCTCCTGTGTGGGGGGGCCGCCTGCCACTCGACCGGTGGTGGCCATGGTGGCACAGCTTGGAGCGCTCCAAAGCGCCTCGCTCCTGAGGAGTGTTTATACAACTGTAGTTAATTATTTAAATCTTCTGCTTGAAGAGGGAGTGCTGTCAGCTCAGACTTGCTTAGAGTGCAGTTGTTGGGTTTTCAGGAACATCTTACCGTTTTAGGCTTACAGATGCAGAGTTTTTCATGTAGTTCTGTGAAGTTCAGCTAAGGAGTTTAAATTAAGGAAGAGTTTTATACATGACTTAAGACCACGCTGCATATGAGCAATTTTCCTCATCTTCATTTTGTAAAAAATGATCCTATATCAAACCTACTGTCTTTAACAAAAGGATGAACTAATTCAATCTATAAAATCCATCTCGCATTTCTGTTTTGGTAAATTGAGAATCCTGCAGTCACATGATATTGCTACTACATTTGTGGTTTTGTTTCTAAAGTCTGTAAAAGTTGATTGTGCTGAGGTCTTTCACTATTGTTTTCCCTTTTTTAAAATCATAGAATCGTAGAATGGTTTGGGTTGGAAGGGGCTTTTAAAGATCATCTGGTCCAGCCACCCTGCAGTGTGCAGGGGCATCTTCAACTAGTTCAGGTTATCATGAAAATGCCTTTCTTCCTTCTCTTTCCTAGGGGTGACCAGTCACGGAAGAGAGCTGGAGAAGAGTTAACCTACAGTAAGTATGCATCTACCCCTGCCCTCCAGCGTGGTGTTGGGCATACAGTAGTCCTAGATGGACTTCTGTGTTCTTGGGAGTGGTGAAGTGTCAGAGGCTGCACCTCCACATGCAGCTAGCTGTCTGCTGATGTAACCTTTAGCATTCTAAGTAATAATATAAACTTCTAGAGTCTGACCAACTGTGCTAGAGCCCCACAGCCACCTCTAAGGTAGTAAGATATGTTAGCTACGGAGGCCAAGATACTGCCATGTCATTTAAGTGCGGAGCTGAGGTCTTGAGGAAAAAGAACATAGTTGTCCCAAGTCTCTGTCTGATAAGGATACGCGTGACAGGCAATGAAATGATGAGCTAATCTACCTCTGATATAAATCACCCACTGGTGATGCGTGTTTCTGTCTGTTGACACAATTGAGAGTTTGGAGGCGTTGTGCTTTCCGACCTGGAACCCTCAATTACGTGACAAATACAATGTGGGATCCACCTGCATTGAGATACTAAAGGCAATATTTGGCTACAAATGTTTGAGTCACGCAGCAGGGAAGTTCTCTGCCACTCGTAGATGCAGGCTCTTGCTGCATGTTTAACTGGGGTTCTTCTCTTTGTTACTCCCTTAATTTCCCCCAGTATAGGTTAGGTGGTGAGGGTAGGAGACACAGGGAGGAATGGTATTTCCATTCTCAGTTGGCTGTTCTACTCCAGACAGCCCTAATTTGGATCAGTCAAAGGTCCCGTGTTGTGTGCTGACCAAGTATTTGGCCAGGAGAGAATCTAGTCTTGTGCATTCTAGGTTAGGATTGAGTACGAGGCCCTGATTGTCTTTAAATAACCTTGGGAATAGTATCTGTTCTGGTGCTACTGTTAGCTCCAGTTCATTTTGTGGCATTCTTTCCACCAACTTTTCCTCCTGTGCTTTCAGTGGAATATGTTTGCTTTGTTTCCTACCATAAAATGTCATACAGCTTTGTGATGAACTCTTACTACAACCTGAAATGTTTATGTGGTGTATCAGCTTCAATTTACACTGGTAACGTTTTGCAGGCAATGCTGGTTTTGGGGGGAAGAGGGACAAAGGACATAAGGTGGAAGTTTAATACAAGAGATTTTCTTGAACTTTTTATATAATTTCAGATGGCTCATCAGCTTGTGCAAGCTCCAGGGGGTACAGATAGTGAATATACTGGATCAGCTTCTATTCCTAGCCAGAACAGACACTGGAGGAGCACAGGTGGTATCCGGAGCCTCCTTTGGCAACTGCTGATGCTCGAGCTCTGACACGAACTATGCCTCAAAGAAGAGTTTTAGACTTCTTTATGTAATAAAATGTCAGTTGCTGCTACAATTGGGATGACTTTGAAAGACACGATTCCTCGGTCTGGCACCTCAACAAGTTCATGTTCTGTGATTTTTGTGAGGAATGCACCTTGAAAAACAATCCTTTCAAAGTGGGAATGGGCAGCCAAAATCAGCAGCTTCCAAAAGCGTTAGAATGGAAGAATCTTTTTTGCACTCTTTTCTTAATATTAAAGACATTCTTAAAACTAGATAACACGTCACTGTATTAGTTTTTAAACTTCAAGGTATTTTCTGGAGCTTTTACTTAAATAATAAGAATAAAGTTTCATTATTTTGCAGTATTTGTTCATTAGTTTAAAAATTGTCACCTTTTAAGAGTTGGTCCCATATAAATGTATCTTCTGTCAGGGAGTTTGAAAATCCAGATTTTCCTTTTGTCTCTTTTTTTTGTTACTTGGTATTTTGAAATCTGTTTTCCTATGTGTTTGTACTCTGTGCCTTCAGCTTGTGCACTTTGCGACTTTATAGACCATGTTTTGTTACTGCAAAATGTCTTCGTGAGGAAAAACTTGATGTGAACAAACATGCTGCAAAGTTGCACTTTTCTCTTGCATTAACGGGAGGTGAATTTTGAGGAGGAAGGAAGAAAAGTTGAACCTATCACCATCACTAATAGTGACTTGGAAGTTTGTCCCCTTTTATTTTTCGTATGTGTTAGTGCTTAATGCTGGGACCAACTCTTGTACAACCCCTCTCATTGACTTTTCATTGGCTTCCATAATTGCAATAGATTGAGATGTGAGTTCCAGACTGAATGAAATAATAAGATGTGTTTTATGCTCTGCAATGTAGAAACATTATAGTCTGAAAAGTGCATCTCTGTCAGCACAAACCGGATTTGCACCGAGTTGATCAGGAAATGATGGTACTTGTCCAAGATCACTTTATGGCTCCTGTATGAATTCTCCTGTTTTGAGGATGTGATGGGGGTATGATAGTGGATGTTGTCACAGTCAGGGAGTTGAGAAGTGATTTAATGCATCCATGTGTACCCATCAGACTTCAGTTTCCAGTCTTGTGTAAACCCAGCTGGAGATCCAGCAGAGCCCAGTTCCAGGAGATCTGGACCTATGGTCTGAATCCTGATGATTGTGTCATGGGTTTTAACCAGTACTATGGCTAATGCAATTATTTCGTGAGGGGAGAAACATACTTGAAAAAGCAGTTTGACTACAGGTTTGGGTTTTTTTATTACTATGGATTTATTTTTGACACCTTTTAGTTATGAAGAGAAATTAGTTGGTAATATAAAATCTTTCCGAATTGAAACAAAAGTTTGTTCAGTTTTGTCTTGCACAACTCTTATGACTGTTTAAAAAAAAAACCACACACACAAAAAACCAACACAACCCCCTTCATGCTTGCATGAATTCATTTCAAAATGCAGGAAAAAGATAAAAATAGATGCGGCAGGGATAAAGTTTCATTTTGTTTTGTAGCCAGAGTTCTTGTAAATGAATTTAATTCTATCAGTTTCACATCAGCCACTTTGGCATTGCTGATAGTTTGGAGAGTAGGGGGGAAGAAGAATGAAGAGGACACTTCTGTGACTGACAGATTCAAATCTGATTTACCTATATATTTCTTTGCATATTTGCAAAGCCTGTTTAATTTTGAGGAAGTTTTTCTTTTAAAAATGAGTGCTTCAGTGTTTTGTTTTCTGTGTAGGAACAATGCCAGCAGTCTAATCTCATCCCAAATAGTGGAAAACCAAACCACTCTCTGAGTAGAGATTTTCAAGTTGATAGTATTTGCTTCAACTTTGCTACCAGCTAAAAAGTTGAAGCAGAATTAGACAAAAACAGGGATTTTGAAAATTTTGCAAAAGTACACAATAGGGAAGTTAATGAAGGCTAATAGGGAACAAAGGTGATTTGCCATTTTCCAGAATTTTATCAGTTTTGGCTTTAAACAAAAAACCTCTTGTAGCCTCTTTAGCTTTAAAAATCACTGTTTGCTGAAATGACAATATGCTTGAGTTAAGAATAGATGCATTAACCTAATTTGGTTAAAATTTGTTTACAACTTCGTTACCATTCTAGTTCACATAATACAGTAATCTGTCGTCTTTGTCAAGTGATCACAATGTTTTTCCTGTTCTTACAGTGGTTTTACTGGTTCAAGTGTGTAAATAACAGGTAGTCCTTTTGCTTCATGTTTGAAGCAAGGGTTCAGCATTCGTTTTATGTTGTGTTATGTTTGGGACACAAACTTCTAGAACAAGAATTCCATCAAAAGGTAAAGCGTTCCTGTGGTTCACTTTGTATGTACCGGGTGGTGCTCAGATGCTTCTCAGTCCTGTGTAGCATTCTCACTTGGCCACCATGCCCGAGAAATCTGTTTGTTAAGCACTGTATTATGTTGTAAATTTGACATTAAAATTCCTGTATGTTTTGGCATTATTAACATAATGCTGAAATACTGTTTAGCTGTCAAAGACGTTATCATTGTGACTTAGCATGAAACAGAATACAGCATACTATACTAAATTATTTTGTTTCTCTGTAAACTTGCATTTTACTTACAGTAAAACTAACTCGGCCAACTTGAGCATTGGTACTGTAAAGCCACAATTACCAACAGCATGATCCTAACTGCAGTATTTAATTTAACCAGATAACTTGTGGTAAATCCATTGCATCTGTAGCTTATTCTGTTAAGATTAAGCAGTAAAGTTGATTATACGATGGATGTCCTCTCTATGTTGCACTGGTTCTATAGCCAAACTTGCTACATTAAAATATTTTTAGATTAATTTCATTTCTTGATGTGGGAAGTTGAAATGTTTAAATTCACCCTGCTGACTACTGTACTAGTAGGCAATTAATATATGGTCAAGATGGTCTTTGATACAAATCATGAAGGGGAGATGTAACTGGGTAAGTACTCAACTCTTCTGCAGTTGGATCTTGTTGATGCCTTTCTGCAGTTGTTGGGGAAGTATTTGTGGACAAGTATGTTGAAGCAAAAGTTTTCAGACTCCTGTTGTTTGATAGAAATATGATCAGCCAGATTCATCCCTTTTAATTTTTCCCTAATATGATGGCTTACTTTCTACAGGTTTAAAAAAAAAAAGTAGAAACCAACCGCAAAGGCCATGTTCTAAGTGACTGAAAAATGTTTTCTGTGTATGCTGTGGCAACCCCAGTGAAAGGACTATTCTGTAGGACTACAGAATAAAACCCAACTGCTTGAATTTGACTCCTGTCTTCAACCCAGCTCCAGTTGAGAGAAAACGAAGCTTTTTTGACAACTTGACATGCACCAGATACCCAGAAGGCACGTAGTTCAACTCACAATGTGCAAGTTATGGTACCTTTAGGATCAATATAGTTCTTGACCACATGAAAAGGTCCTGCTGGGGAGGCATGGACACTGTTTGGATTAGTGTACTTCCCTTCTGCGCTGCTGGGACTGTGTGATAATATGGGGATAGTCACTGTGCTGAGGCCACTCTGGTTGAAGATTCCTTTTTTTGAGGGGTGTTGTGTTGGCCACTCATTTAACTCTTGAGCTTGCTTTTCATAGCTGAATACTGTAAATAAGTCTGTTAAGGATTGGATATGCTCTGACTGGTGGTGTTGGCTTCCTTAACTGTTCTTGGAGTACCTCCACTAGAAGCCTTTAAATGCACGTTCAAGATCCCTGCCTGTTTGTGGAGGTGTTTGCGTGGTGTAATATTGAGCTGCAAACTGTGCTCCCAGCGTTGTCGCTGGGCAGGAAAAATACAGAGGGTCGGGCTTTGCATGTCCCCCGTTCTCTGACCCGGAGGTCTGCAGTAGCACGTGCACGTGCCTCGCTAGTACGAGGTGCAGCCTCCTCCGTGCTGTCCTTTGGCCGAGGGGCAGCAGGGGAGGGTGGAGCCGTGCAGTGCTGCTGCTTTGCTGGGCTGATGCACACAAGTCATGTCAGCGCTGCAGCACCTACTTGTGTCCCGTCATGCACGTTTGCAGCACAGAACCTGACCTCAGTCTGTAAGTAACTATGACAACTTTTGTAAAAGGAAGTGGGGGTCTCTGTCCAATTCAGTCTTTTATTTCTTGGTAAGATAGAGAAGAGTTTGCAGGTAGTCTGATCTTTCCTTCTGGAGCTTTCTTGGCAAATACTTTCTGGCTGGTAGAGGGAAAGGATCTTTCCTCCAAGGAAAAGGACTATGGGTCATCTGTCTCTGATTTTTGTCTGCTGGTCTCCAGGGAGACATGGTGCAAGATAGTCAATCACAGTGAGTGCACTGTGCTTATAGTACTTAATTCTGGATTTGATCTAGGATAAACAGTGCTTTCTGGTAGGCTTGCAAACTTCAGGTAGTGGTAATCATGGAAGGTGTGAACCAGGGACGGGCTTGCTCTGGCAGGTGTCATTCTAGTAATTACAGGACAAAGTAAGTTATTTTGTCCCAGAGAGCATTACTTTTTATACTGTAAATTGGTGTGACCAACAAGATATTTTTATACCCATGGCACCTGCTAACAGGAAAAGGTCATAGAATCTAAATTTCATCTTTATCAGTACTTAAATACACTGTCTTTGAATGGGGAGCAGAATCATATGCCAGGGGAGGCCTTGCCTTCTGTCAGGAGATGCAGAACATCAGCACTGCCACGTTAGCACATAGACAGACTTGCTGATTTGGCCTCGGTTGAAAGCTCTCTGATAAAGTGCTTTGTACTTTGCTAGAGGGAGTGGAAGGATTAAACCCATACATCTTGACCTAACCTGAATGACTGGTTTCAGATGTTTCCAAAATTTCATAGGCAATGGGTACTCAGAAATCCCTTCTGGCTGTCTCCATCTGTCCCTGGGATGCTCCAGGTACGCTTTGGTTAATGTTTCTGAGCTTCTGCTAACTGATCTAATTAGCACAGAACAGGAAAGTGGACTCCCCTAATGATGACAACAGGATGAATTTAGTAATACCACTTACTGCCTTTTTCAGCTAACCATTCCTTAAGAAAAGCTGTTACAGGTTCTGAGATGACCTGGGTCACCACCGGTTTCTGTTAGGCAGCAGGTCATTTATCTGTTAGCACCGTTTGCCATCTATCAGCAAATTGCACGATTTTGTCCAGAGAACAGTTCATAAATGAATTATCTCAGGATAGTCGGTAGATGTTACCCTGTGGATGAGGTGCATTGTCAGGATAAAGAGCACCTGTTCAAAGCACAAGATAGATGGAGATCTGAATGTGCTGCTGGAGAGCTGAGGTGGTGCATCTGGTTGGGTTCATGGTGCTGCCCCGTAGAAGCATGGAGCGACTGTGGAGGGAGCTGCACTGTG